CCAGATCTCCCAACCTGGTGAGCCGCGCGTTGGTGAGGCGCCTCTCCATGTCAGGGATGGCGGTGGTGGATGGAAGCTTTGTCCTGCGGGTTCCTGAGGATCGGTTCGAAGACCAGATCCTCGGCCGATCGCGGCTGGTTCAGCCTCCTGACGGCGAAGGAGCTCCATGTCTGCAGGATGCTCCTGTAGAAAGGTGACAGCTGTTCCAGTGGGAGGCCCTGCAGGTCCATGTAGAATAGTTGTTTGGAGCACTGCAGACCAGCTGTTTCAAAGGAAAGAGGCCGTGACGCTCCAGGCCGATGCAGGGGCGGCGTGCAGGGACTTTTGCACAGCTTGCAGTCGGAAGGTGGCCAGCTCACTCCGCACGCACACCAGCCCATGACCGCCCTCGTCCAGTGGCAGGGCCAGGACCCCAGCCGCGACCCAGTGTCCTCTGCCCGACCAGAAGAAGTCTCCATTCCTCCCTGTCTCTCCCTCTCCCCTCTTCCCTCCATCTCCCTTCCTCCCTCTGTCTCCCTTCCTTTTTTTACGATCAGAGGAAGCAAGACGATGCTCGGTGTAGTCGGCACTTTGCTTCGTTAATCATTTAGTTTTTTTGTTAATGCTTTGCTTTATTTAACCCCCCCCCCCTTTTTAACGAAAGATTTGACAAAAGATTTCACACTCTGCTCTCCTTACCCCTTCCCTCTCTCTCTACCCCCTCTCTTATTTTTTTCCCTCTGTCTCCCTTCCTCCCGCTCTTTGTCCTCTTTCTCCCTCCCTCTGGCAAGGTGGACCGTGCTCAGTAATGGAGCCGTAATTGAGGCATGCTGCTGAGCGGTGCCGTGCGTGTGAATCGCAATGACACGTGATTTCAAAACGGCACCACTTCCTTATTCTCTTGAGTTTCACTGAATAATTTACTTCGATGTAATTTGCACATTTTATTTTACTTCTTATCCGTGATGGAATAAGCCACAGTAGCCCACACGCCTTCCCGTTATGGGTTAGAACGGGCACTTGTGCATTCTGAAATTATGCGCACAAAGACAATGATCCCCCGTATAGCCTGAAGAGAGTTGTTGAGGAAGCGCTTCTAGCGAGTACTCGGAAGGGTACACATTGGCGTGGGTGACTGGCACAACGGCCGGCCGCCTTTGTCTCCCAAGTGGCGATATTAACACACTTCATTTGAGGCTGAGTCGACCTAGGGGAGGCCCAGGACCGATTCAGATAATCGGCACTGGTGTTGGCCGTGAGCAGTAATCTGACGGGTCACTGGTTTCGTGGCGCAGCGCGCTAACTACTACACTACCGCTCCGACACCGCACAGATACAAGACAAAGACACAAACCCAAGCACACACACATACACACCACACAAAGACACACACACAGACACACACACAGACACACACACAGACAAACACACACAGACACACCACACAAAGATACACACAGACACACATTCGCAGTACGACAGCAGAAGGCCGTCAGCCCCCACCCAATGGTATTTGGCCTACTCTTCTATATATTTGAAAAGTTGGGAGTGCCCACACTTTACACCACCACACTCTGTCGATCCACTAACTTTGGTGCACCCACGTACACTGCTGTCCCCATAACGTCAACTAACAAATAATATTCATATAGTAATTACAATTTATTCAGGAGTGCCACGCTGAGTCGGATGACCTTTTTTGGAAGGGTCCAACCACATTGGGTTTTTAATTTGTAAGATGTTTGCATCTAATTCCAGAAAATACGGCTCCTCGATGCCCACAGGAAGAGAGTTTCACAGCACATTTGTGTGTGATCCACCAACGCTGGATAGATTGTGTTAAAAAAAAAACAATGGTGTCCCTTTGGCCGCGTCGCGCGGAAGCTTGCGCAGCCGACAATTCGCGCCCTCCCCGTGCAGTGCAGACCTGGCAATTTCGTGGCTGCCCCTTTATCCCTCAACCACCATCAAAGTCCATTCATCACTTTTTGTGCGGTCATAGGAGATCGGTTATCGTGATGCGGTCAATTGGGAGGCAGAAGCAGAACGAGAAGTGGGCTTTTTAGCAGAGGTCCAAACGCCAAAACACGTCGAACGGTCAGCCACAATCAGCACAATCTAAGTTGCAATGGATCGAGTGAACGCGGTATCCGACATGAGCAGAGTTCTCGCAGGAGTTGGGGGAAAATAGACAATGGGAGGGCGAGACGATGCCACTGTGATGGTGATCATCATCATTATAGGCACTTCGATTTGTGTGAAGACATCACCACTAGGGAGACAAAGGCGGTCGGGCGTGATGCCCGCCACCAAGCCCCCTCGTGTGCCGTGCCGGCCTTCGTAGGTCCTGCTCACTAACAGGATTCGTCCCAACAGTCTGTGAAGGCACTAGGGAGGATCTTTGTTGCTAGGTCGACATTTATTTCTCTCCGGCCGGCGCCACTGTTGGTGTTGACGCTTCTCGTGGTCACAAATTTGAGTTCAGGGTCTCCCCTCCACGGGCATCGTGCCCCCCCCCCCTCCTTCGTGAGTGGTAAGGATTCCGGCGGGGGGGTGGGCGGTAGTTGCCCCGCGTGTATCAGCAGAACGCGTGTCGAGAAGGAGAAGGGGGAGTGACTCACGATCGCTGAGCAGTTTCCTGCCGCCCCGTTTTGCCTGCGTGAGAAAGTGAGTTTTTTCCACCGAGGTTATTTATTATTATAATAATTATTTATTATTTATAACAATTTTATAATAAATGAATTGCCGTGTAACTTATTTTTTTAGGTGCCTTGTACACGCGCGTGTCAGCCTGCTCCGCCCGCCCCCACCCGTTCGACTCAAGCAAAACACTGCACCGGTGTCGACATTAAAACTATAAAACTATTAAAATATATAATTATTTGACCAGGTAAGGCCCACTGAGCCACGTAGCTCTATTTTTAGAAGCGACCTGGCCACAAGTGGTAGCTCATCGACGTTGCTTATCGTGGCGCGGAAACGTACAGCAGCCACATGAGACACGTTTCAGTGTCTCATCAGCAGCGCCAGGCTTGTGTGAACCAACAATGCTGGTGAACTGCCAGACGGAGTTGTAGGCAGAGGAACGTGGAATTTCCACCACCCCCTCTGCGAGGGCTGTGGACGGGAGATGTGCACAGATGGGGGCCTCAATGCGGGGTTCGAGCCGGGGGAGATCTGGCGCTGTCTGACTGCCCCTCGCCTCGCGCTGCTCAACACGATTAGTCACCCTTACTTCGTACGACGTTCAGAGCTTTGACTGTGCTGTTTGTTGCTGGCCACTTGGCATTTTGAGTTATTTGTATTTCCCTTGCTCAACCCGAGCAGGAAATCTCCACCGTGTACGTGCGTGTTGTACTGTCTGTGTGTGCGCGTTGTACTCTGTGTGAGTTGTACGGTGTGTATTGTATTTCGTGTGAGACTTCTACTGTGTATGTGTGAGAGACAAAGGCGGTCGGGCGTTGTGCTGGCCACCCACCCCCTCGTGTGCCGTTCCGCCGTTCATAGGTGCTCGCTAACAGCACTTTCCCCAACAGTTTGTGAAGGCTACACGGGGTATCCGTGTATTTGTGAGAGGGAGAAAGTTGTAAGGCAGCGAGTGTAATTCATGTGGCCAGCGTTTTATGTGTGGACTTTGTAAGAGTGGTTTCTGCGTTCAGGATTTTGGGAAAACGCCTTTATTCTTGCTGCTCTGCGGTAACGCTCGGCCGGCTTGACCAGAGTGGAAAAAATGTTCGAGTTGGGCGATCGAGGGGTGAGCGTGGCGCCAGGGCTAGAAGGGGTTCACGGTCGCCCGCAGCCTCACCGTGGGGCCACTCGCTCTACAACCCCAGGGCAATGCCGTCACATCTACACGCTGTGACCTTGCGCGCCACTGAGCAATGTTACGTTGTTGATCACGTGAACGCAGCTGCTGAACGAAACGTCAAGCAGCCAGCGACAGACAGCACTAAGTTGCAATGGATAATAAGAGTCTAACGCGTTTCCTGATTGGAGTAAGGTTTTTTATTATGAGAGTTTTGGGGAAAGGAGACGATGGGAGGCGATGCCAGAGTGGAGCAGTGCGAGGGAAGGGGCAGAGAGTGATGTTACCTGCAGTGTGGTGAGTGGGCGTGTGAGTGGGTGAGTGTTTTAGTGACCTGCAGTGTGGTGAGTGGGCGTGTGAGTGGGTGAGTGTTGTAGTGACCTGCAGTGTGGTGAGTGGGCGTGTGAGTGGGTGAGTGTTTTAGTGACCTGCAGTGTGGTGAGTGGGCGTGTGAGTGGGTGAGTGTTGTAGTGACCTGCAGTGTGGTGAGTGGGCGTGTGAGTGGGTGAGTGTTTTAGTGACCTGCAGTGTGGTGAGTGGGCGTGTGAGTGGGTGAGTGTTGTAGTGACCTGCAGTGTGGTGAGTGGGCGTGTGAGTGGGTGAGTGTTTTAGTGACCTGCAGTGTGGTGAGTGGGCGTGTGAGTGGGTGAGTGTTGTAGTGACCTGCAGTGTGGTGAGTGGGCGTGTGAGTGGGTGAGTGTTTTAGTGACCTGCAGTGTGGTGAGTGGGCGTGTGAGTGGGTGAGTGTTTTAGTGACTTGCAGTGTGGTGAGTGGGCGTGTGAGTGGGTGAGTGTTTTAGTGACCTGCAGTGTGGTGAGTGGGCGTGTGAGTGGGTGAGTGTTGTAGTGACCTGCAGGGTGGTGGTTGAACACAGCGTGGTGGGGGATGAGATGAAACAGGCGGTGTCTGCTTCAACCGAGCCCTCAACACGGAGGAGGAATCATTTGAGTGCAGTCCACGAATTGGAACACTTGTGTGGCGTTTTGTGTGATCGTGAGAGGTGGCGGCGGTGGCGGCGGTGGCGGCGGTGGCGGCTTGGGGAGGAGGCTTTCATCCAGCAGTGGATTGACCACGGCTGACGGTAACGACGGCGGCGGCCCTTTGTGTTTTTTTTTGTGAGCGATGCGAGAGTTTGCATTGCAGACGAATAATCAAGGAGGAGGACATCTGTCAGAGAAATGAGTCAACTTTAATGGAAATTACACAGGTGACCATTGACAGATACAAAACAGGGAATAGCATGGCCTTGCCAGTGGAGTTAAAGCTTAAGTCCTTGTAAAATACCCGTTTAGTTACAAAAAATAAGCTGTGGAAACTATAGGATTTTAATAAATACAAATTCATAAAAAACACGTGAATTGTTCCCGTACCCATTTGAAAATGCCTTCGGTATAAAACTACGACCACTGCCACGACCACACGCCGATCGGCTTGCAGCAAAGAGCGATCGGCTGATTTCAGCTGATGCCACAGTTTGCAGTAAGAAGCAGAAAAACAAATCCACTTGAATAGTATAATAATAACACCATTCCTTCCGCCCGTTCACCACGTTCTACACGCACTTCACCATCAGCCGTGGTCAGTCCACTGCTGGATGATGGCCCATTTGCATTCGTTCATACAAAACGATTCCACGTTAAGTGTGCATTCCGGCCCGAAAGGTGAGGCGGGTGGGAGTGGTGGCGCAGTGGTTTGCACACTCCGCTCACAACGGCCAATGCCAGTGGTGAGTTGCGTCCCAGCTGCGTCTGCACCCCCGCCTCCTGACGCCACCATTCACCAATCCACACACAGACCGGCGTGGTGAAGTATGGTCAAACAGCTTGTTATTTTGTGGGGAGGCCTTCATCCAAGAGTGGATTGATGATGGTTGTCTATGATGACGATGGCGCCAGTGGCTACGACTTATTATTATTTATATCGACGAGGCTGAGCCACATCAATGTCAATGTGAAACTTATTGCATATTTATTTGTAACATTGGTAAGAAGATTCTTTGGCAATATATAAAATGTGCATCATTGCTTTGTATACACGGCACGAGGATTAATGCTGTTTAACGAGCGACACTAAAATAGATTTACACCAACTGTACACGCATTCTCAACGCACTCTATTGTGTTTTACATTCCAGCGACGTTGTGTTCCGATTCCTCATCTTTCTTTCGGTGGTCCTGCGGGAAGCAGAGCCACCAGTCCGAATGACAAACTACGCCCATTGACAAGTCGACATCAGCGCAAGAAGAACCGCACAGAGGTGAGATATGGACAGCCGCATTCCAGAATCAACGCAAACCGGTGAACACAAAAACCACGACGCCCACCCGTCTTTGTTTCCCAAATGCTGACGTTTACACACAGAATCGGCTATTCATTTAAGGCAGAGTCGACCTCGGGGAAGCCCAAAGTCGGTTCATAGATCCGCCACTGTTATTGGTCGTGAGCGAGAATCAAACTCGGGTCACCGGGCTCATTCACTCGCTCGCTCACTGCTCTGCAGAAACACCGCTGCACAGGCTTAGGGACTGCGGTGATAACCCAGAGATTCTGGGAATTGGCGTCTGTGAGTGGCAGCAGGAATTCAGAATCAGAATATTTATTTATAGTGGAGGTATCCGATGAGCTATAAATCTATTTTTCACAGATGTCCACCAGATTGATTGGAACCGAGCTCTGGTAGCGGTCGAACTGTGCTGAACTTTATCGCCGTACACGTGGCGGTGGAGAAGTGCCGGCACACACCGGTAACGCCACGCCGGTAACGCCACGCCGGCACTTCTCACAACGTCTCCGTTCCTCCCCACTGCGATTCTTCAACAGAGGGGAAGTGGCAGTGAGTGCCCGCGTGAGTGTCCGTGTGAGTGTCCGTGTGAGTGTCCGTGTGAGTGTCTGTGTACTTGTCCACCGTTTTCAACGTCATTTATAGTGCAAAATAGTTTTTTCTCTGATTTATATTTGTTTGTTTCTGCTCTGGTGGCTGTTTGCTCGCTTGCCGTACTTCGTTACGTTCTCACTCCTGCCATTGTCGTGACCCAGGCCATTCTTGCAATCGAAACTCATCCTGCCCTCCTGAGGTCCCACCCGCTTCAACAAAACACACTTGAACCTTGCGAATAGGAACCTTAGCGAATAGGAACCCTGGTGAACATGAACCTTAATGAATAGGGTTCGTTCCGGCACTGCTATATTTGCATTTCCACTGCCGAGTCCACATCAGCACAGTTATCACCGACTCCGTGCTGACTGAGAAATGGGACTGGGTTTTGGTGTGCAGTGAAAAAGGTGGCAAGCCTGCCACCCACTCAGTCACCCGCTCACCCACTCGCCCACTCGCTCACTCATCCACTCACCTATCCACTCACCCACTCACCCACTCACTCACCCACTCACCCACCCACTCACGCCCACTCACAGGCGGACGGGTGCTGAGTCACCTTGTGGCAGACAAGGACAGCTCCTACTGGCGGTGCCCTTTCACATGTGCTGAGATGAGCTGCGGTGTCAAGAGTGGCCCGAGACTCCCCAGCAAATAGGAGGGCGGCTCCATCAACATCATCGCCATCATCACCATCGTCACCATCGTCACCATCGTCACCATCATCACCATCGTCATCATTGTCATCGGGAGCCGCTCTGGGCAAATAGCATCTTGAGCTGAGCGATGTCAGCTGAGAGGGTGGCCAGCTCACTCCTCAACCCAGTGTCTTCACCCCCGCCCGCCCCCCCGGGGCCCCCCAATCCTCCCAGGCCCCCCAACCCACCGGGGCACCGGGATCCCAACCCCGGTCCCAGGGGGCCCCGCAGGCCGCTCACCAGCGACAGCGCTTCGGCGTAGAGGGCGGCCCTCCTCACCGCCCTCACCTCTTCCCCTCCTCGCTCATCACCAACACTGTCATCCAACTTACTTCTCATCTGCTCGCGCCTCTCTTCCATCGTCTCATCCCTGCCATGCTGCTGCTGATGGGGATGATGAAGGCGAGCGATCGGCTGAGAGTGGCTCTCCTCGGGGCTGCTGGCCACCTTGAAGCGCAGCTTGTGCGGGAGGTTTTTTACAGCGGCGGTGGTGGCAGTGGTGGCGCAGATGGCGCCGGCGTTGGATTCTGGCGACGAGACGGAGGCGCCGGGAGATGGGGCCGGGCTGGGTGCCGGCAGAAGAAACGCCGGAGCGTCGTGTCCACCGCCACTGCCACCGCGGTGCGATTTAGGCCACGCTGTGGGAGATGATGACGCAGATGACCCGAACGTCTCGATGGATGGAGAGCGAGACAACTGGTGGTGTAGCTGTTGATGGTGCTGCTGCTGCTGATGGTGCTGCTGCTGCTGCTGATGATGGTGATGAAGGCGCGCGCTGTTCTGCTGAAGGGCGTTGCGCACAAACGTGGCGGTGCCAACGGACAGCCCGAGAGGCAACGCCGCATCCACGGCGCTCATCTGCGTCGGATGAAGCAGCTGGTGCTGCTGATGATGCTGATGATGCTGATGATGCTGCTGATGCTGCTGATGCTGCTGATGATGAAGGTGGCGGTGGTGGTGCAACGGCGCCGCCGCCGCCGAAAAAATGCCGTGAACGGGCGACGGGAAAATGAGCGCGGCGCCCGCAGCTCCCGCGGCGGCAGCTCCGCCCGTCGCCCCCCCACCCAGGGCGCCGTCCCCGCCGCCGGGCGCCAGCATCGGGTCGCGCACCAGGCCGTAGCGCAGCTTCAGCGCCAGCAGCTCGGTCTTGAGCCGCGCGTTCTCGTCGAGCAGCGCCAGCACGCGCGTCTCCAGCACCAGGTCGTTGTAGCGGCGCTTCTCGCGCGAGCGCTTGGCCGCCTCGTTGTTCTTGCGCCGCTTGTCCCAGTAGGAGGCGTCCTTCTTCTCGTCGGGGATGAACTCGCGCTTGCGCCGCTGGTTGCCGTAGTGCCCGGACGAGCCCCCGTCCTCCTGCTGCTCGTGATTATGCTCGTGATGGTGATCGTGATGGTGATCGTGATGGTGATCGTGATGCTGCTCTTGATGATGCTCGTGATGCTGATGACGCTGCTGCTGCTGATGATGAAGATGGTTCTTATAGCGATGGTTCTGTTGCCGATCTTGCTCGTCCTCCTCCTCCTGTTGCTGCTGCTGCTGCTGATGCGGAGACGACTGCTGATTATGCTGCGGCTGCTGCTGTTGCTGATTATGATGTTCCTGCTGTTGCCTGCCATCCATGTCGGTGATGCCCTGAGCTCCCTGCAGGGCACGTGACCCCAGGTGCAGGAGGCCGTGCGCCGGGTTCCACAGCGGTGGAGTGTTTGGTAGATGCCCACCACCGCCGCCACCACCACCACCGCCGTTCTTCAACAACAGCGCCGTCGTCGCCTTCTCCACCACCACCTCCTCCTTCACCGCCTCGTCCACCTCGTCGTCCGTCACCTGGAGGAGCGATGAGGTGAGCCCCGAGCTGTAGCCGTGGGCGAGGTCGATTGCCATTGAGGTGGAGCAGGGGGGCGACAGCACCTCGCTCGTGGCAGGCATAGCCCGCACGCTCACTCTCCTCACCTGGTGAGCAGTGTGGTGGGGGAAGGAGGAAAAAATTGGGGGGGGGGGAATGAGAGGGTGAGTGGGGTGAGTTGGTTAGTTGAGTCGATCCGAGTGAATCGTCGATATCGTTATCGTCGTCATCATCATCAGCAGAGTGGTGACACAGTGGGTGGTGATGCTCGCGCCTCACAGCAAGAAGCCTCTGGGTTCGCCTCTTCTCTGGGGAGTTTGTTCTCCACCTGTTTTACAGAGTGTGAGCGAGTGTGAGTGAGTGTGAGCGAGTGTGAGTGAGTGTGAGCGAGTGTGAGTGGGGAGCGGTGGTGTAGCGGTCAGCGCACTGCGCTACGAACCTGGCGACCCGAATTCGATTACCGACTCGCGGCTAACACCGGTGACGATTATCTGAACCGGTCCTGGGCCTCCCCTAGGTCTACTCAGCCTCAAATAAGTACCTGATACGATATGTAAACATCGCCACGAGGGAGACAAAGGCGGCCGGGCGTGGTGTTGGCCACCCACTCTCTCGTGTGCCGTTCGCTAACAGCACTTGCTTTAACAATCTGCTAAGGCTTTACGGGGGATCTTTGTCTTTGTGAGTGGAGTTTGCATGTTCTCCCACTGTGCTACTAAGTGTGTGAGTACGTGAGTGTGTGGGGTTTGTGTTTGCTCTCCCCCGGCTCTGTATGGATTTCCTGATGATTTCTCTGGTTTCCTCCCATCGCTAAAAACGCACAAACACAGTGGAACTGGCATTGGCCAAACAACAACACAACCCCACTGCCGAAACATTACCTGCATAATCACTCAAATGGTATCACGCAGCAGCGGGACCCTCCTGAAAGAAAGCCTTGAGACTCGGCGAGCATTTTCCGGGTGAACACGCAGAGTAATCATCACAATCATCTTCATCCCCCCCTCCCCTCTGTCTAACGGAGTCTCTGAGGTGTCACCCCCTCGCTTACAGGGGCTGGGGCTTTCTCCGGCTTACACTCACAAAACATTTTTATTTCATTAAAATCTTCCATTCCGCTTGCAAGGGCTTCCAGGGTGTCGATCGACACCCTGCAGACCACGTCACTACGCGTGTACCCACACACGCGCTCGTTGGAAAAAGACAAAGAACCCCCGTGGAGCCTACACAGGCTGTTGGGGAAAGTGCCGTTAGCGAGCACCTATGAAGGCGGTTCTGGCCTTCATGGGTGCTCGGGGATCATCCAGACAGAACGACGCGAGGCCGCCTTTGTCTCCCGAGTAATGGTGCTTGAGATACACCACACGAGGTTAATCCTAATCCGCTAAATCCAGGTAGGGGATGCCCATAATTCGCAACTCCGATTAGCAAGGTTGGCTACGTTCCGTGCGAAATAAGTTCAACTTACATTTATAACCGGTTCAGATGTCCGCCACTGATGTTTGGCCAGAGATGGAATCGAGTCGCCAGGTCCGTGGCGCAATGATAAAACTCGCTAAGCACTGCGCCACCACTCCTCGCATACGCGTACACACCGATACTCTGAAACATGATGGCGAACACGTCATGACACGTACAGAAACGTGATCGTGAATTACTCTGTGTAAATCATTGGCCACACATCCCGTGGATGCAGCAGGTCCCTGTATGTATGTACCATATGTTGAACTTCTTTCGCACCCTACGTAGCCAACCCTGCTCGCTTAGACGGGGCCTTGCCTTAAGGATGAAGGCATTTTCAAAATCTAATTGCTACTTTTTTTTATTCTGGACCTTTCAAGGCCACGCCAGGAACTTTACATCAGCCAGTTAATTAAATCATTCACTTAATCGCATCAAATCCCACCCTGAACTCCCTATGCCCGCTGCTGATCCTGCCTCAGTTGCCCATTCGTGGAGCTCTATGTAAGTCTCGGAGTCTCTATGCAAGTTAACGTCGACTGACTTTACGAAATGTAATACGGCAGCGAAGGTTGCCATGCTATGTAAGGGTTCAATATTATTCTGCTAACCCAGTTGCCGAGCAAAGGCCCACAAACGGCAAGCGGCCAGCAATAAACAGCACGATTCGAGTTGTAACACGCATAGCTAGGAGTTGACGCGCGTCTTTAAATCAGCAAGGTTGTTGTAAGAATGTGGGAAAAGAGACGATGGGAAGGATTTACAAAGTGGTGAGTACGTGGGTGGGTGGGTGGACGAGTGAGTGAGTGAACGAGTGAGTGGTGAGTGAGTGAACGAGTGAGTGGTGAACGAGTGAGTGGTGAGTGAGTGAACGAGTGAGTGGTGAGTGAGTGAACGAGTGAGTGGTGAGTGAGTGAACGAGTGAGTGGTGGGTGGGTGGGTAGGACGAGTGAGTGGTGAGTGAGTGAACGAGTGAGTGGTGGGTGGGTTGACGAGTGAGTGGTGAGTGGGTGAACGAGTGAGTGGTGGGTGGGTGGACGAGTGAGTGAGTGAGTGGTGAGTGAATGAATGTGTAGTATTGACCTGCAGCGCGGTGGGTGAACCCAGTGTGGGTTCTGTCTCGAGAGAGAGAGAGAGGGTGGTGTGTGGTTAGTGTGTGGTTAGAGAGGGTGGTGTGGTTAGTGAGAGAGTGATGATGATGAGTGTGGTTAGAGAGAGGGTGGTGTAGTTAGTGAGAGTGTAGTGTGGTTAGAGAGAGGGTGGTGTGGTTAGAGAGAGGGTGGTGTGGTTGGTGTGGTTAGTGTGTGGTTAGTGTGTGGTTAGTGTGTGGTTAGTGAGAGGGTGTGTGGTTAGAGAGAGGGTGGTGTGGTTAGTGTGTGGTTAGTGTGTGGTTAGTGTGTGGTTAGTGAGAGGGGTGTGTGGTTAGAGAGAGGGTGGTGTGGTTAGTGTGTGGTTAGTGTGTGGTTAGAGTGAGGGTGGTGTGGTTAGAGAGAGGGTGGTGTGTGGTTAGTGTGTGGTTAGAGAGGGTGGTGTCGTTAGTGAGAGTGTAGTGTGGTTAGAGAGAGAGTGGTGTGGTTAGTGTGTGGTTAGTGTGTGGTTAGTGTGTGGTTAGTGTGTGGTTAGTGTGTGGTTAGTGTGTGGTTAGAGGGAGGGTGGTGTGGTTAGAGAGAAGGTGGTGTGGTTAGTGTGTGGTTAGAGAGGGTGGTGTGGTTAGTGAGAGGGTAGTGTGGTTAGTGTGTGGTTAGTGTGTGGTTAGAGGGAGGGTGGTATGGTTAGAGAGAGGGTGGTGTGTTTACTGTGTGGTTAGTGTGTGGTTAGAGAGAGGGTGGTATGGTTAGTGTGTGGTTAGTGTGTGGTTAGAGAGAGGGTGGTATGGTTAGTGTGTGGTTAGTGTGTGGTTAGAGAGAGGGTGGTGTGGTTAGTGTGTGGTTAGTGTGTGGTTAGAGAGGGTGGTGTGGTTAGTGTGTGGTTAGTGTGTGGTTAGAGAGAGGGTGGTGTGGTTAGTGTGTGGTTAGTGTGTGGTTAGAGAGAGGGTGGTATGGTTAGTGTGTGGTTAGTGTGTGGTTAGAGAGAGGGTGGTATGGTTAGTGTGTGGTTAGTGTGTGGTTAGAGAGAGGGTGGTATGGTTAGTGTGTGGTTAGTGTGTGGTTAGTGAGAGGGTGGTGTGGTTAGTGTGTGGTTAGAGAGAGGGTGGTATGGTTAGTGTGTGGTTAGTGTGTGGTTAGAGAGAGGGTGGTATGGTTAGTGTGTGGTTAGAGTGTGTTAGTGTGTGGTTAGAGAGAGGGTGGTATGGTTAATGTGTGGTTAGAGTGTGTTAGTGTGTGGTTAGAGAGCGGGTGGTGTGGTTAGTGTGTGGTTAGTGTGTGGTTAGAGAGAGGGTGGTATGGTTAGTGTGTGGTTAGTGTGTGGTTAGAGAGAGGGTGGTATGGTTAGTGTGTGGTGTGGTTAGTGTGTGGTGTGGTTAGTGTGTGGTTAGTGTGTGGTTAGTGTGTGGTTAGAGAGAGGGTGGTGTGGTTAGTGTGTGGTGTGGTTAGTGTGTGGTTAGTGTGTGGTTAGTGTGTGGTTAGTGTGTGGTGAGTGTGTGGTTAGTGTGTGGTTAGTGTGTGGTTAGAGAGAGGGTGGTATGGTTAGTGTGTGGTTAGTGTGTGGTTAGAGAGAGGGTGGTATGGTTAGTGTGTGGTTAGTGTGTGGTTAGTGTGTGGTTAGAGAGAGGGTGTGTGAATGTGTTTCAGCACTCGCCCCACTCGTGCTCCCAGAGACGCGACCCCGCTCGGGCAGCGTGCGCGCCTGTGTCTGTGTGTATCTGTGTGTGTGTGTATCTGTGTGTGTGTCTGTGTGTGTGTGTGTATCTGTGTGTGTGTGTATCTGTGTGTGTGTGTATCTGTGTGTGTGTATCTGTGTGTCTGTGTGTGTGTCTGTGTGTGCGTGTATCTGTGTCTGTGTGTATCTGTGTGTCTGTGTGTGTCTGTGTGTGTGTGTATCTGTGTGTGTGTGTATCTGTGTGTCTGTGTATCTGTGTGTGTGTATCTGTGTGTGTGTCTGTGTGTGTGTGTGTATCTGTGTGTCTGTGTGTGTGTGTCTGTGTGTGTGTATCTGTGTGTGTGTGTGTATCTGTGTGTGTGTATCTGTGTGTCTGTGTGTGTGTGTCTGTCTGTGTGTATCTGTGCGTGTGTATCTGTATGTGTGTGTATCTGTGTGTCTGTGTGTGTGTCTGTGTGTGTATCTGTGTGTGTGTGTCTGTGTGTGTATCTGTGTGTGTGTCTGTGTGTGTGTGTATCTGTGTGTGTGTATCTGTGTCTGTGTGTCTGTGTGTGTGTATCTGTGTGTCTCTGTGTGTGTATCTGTGTCTGTGTGTGTCTGTGTGTGTGTCTGTGTTTGTGTATCTGTGTGTGTGTGTGTATCTGTGTGTGTGTGTATCTGTGTGTGTGTGTGTCTGTGTGTCTGTGTGTGTCTGTGTGTGTGTGTGTCTGTGTGTGTCTGTATCTGTGTGTGTCTGTGTATCTGTGTGTGTGTGTCTGTGTGTGTCTGTGTGTGTCTGTCTGTGTGTGTATCTGTGTGTCTGTGTGTGTGTGTCTGTGTGTGCATCTGTGTGTGTGTGTGTATCTGTGTGTGTGTGTGTGCATCTGTGTCTGTGTATCTGTGTGTCTGTGTGTGTGTGTCTGTGTGTATCTGTGTGTGTGTGTATCTCTGTGTGTGTGTATCTCTGTGTGTATGTGTATCTCTGTGTGTGTGTATTATGTATGCGTAAGCATGTGTGTATCTCTGTGTGTGTGTATTATGTATGCATAAGCGTGTGTGTATCTCTGTGTGTCTATTATGTATGCGTAACCGTGTGTGTATCTGTGTGTGTATTATGTATGCGTAAGCGTGTGTGTATGTGTGTGTGTTTTATGTATGTGTAAGCGTGTATGTGTGTGTGTATTATGTATACGTAAGCGTGTGTATATGTGTGTGTATTATGTATGCGTAAGCGTGTGTGTATCTGTGTGTGTGTATTATGTATGCGTAAGCATGTGTGTATCTGTGTGTATGTATTATGTATGCGTAAGCGTGTGTGTATGTGTGTGTGTGTTTTATGTATGTGTAAGCATGTATGTGTGTGTGTATTATGTATGCGTAAGCGTGTGTGTATCTGTGTGTGTATTATGTATGCGTAAGCGTGTGTATCTGTGTGTGTGTTTTATGTATGCGTAAGCGTGTTTGTATCTGTGTGTGTATATTATGTATGCGTAAGTGTCTGTATCTGTGTGTGTGTAAGCGTCTGTATCTGTGTGTGTGTGTATTATGTATGTGTAAGCATGTGTGTGTATCTGCGTAAGCGTCTGTGTGTGTAAGCGTGTGTGTATCTGTGTCTGTGTAAGCGTGTGTGTTTGTGTAAGCGTGTGTGTATGTATGTGTGTGTGTCTTTGTGTATGTAAACATGTCACTGTATATCGCATGCTATTGTGAGTGCCCATGTGTTTGTGTGATCTCCTGCCAGCGAGCCTTCCACACTTCACTTAGCCTCAAGGTCCACCTAGCCTGGCACAGGCGCTGTGGTGACGTCACCACCACTTAGTGGCAAATTCCGGCTGATGTTGTTGAGTACTGTGTACGTTCTGTGTATACCTATGTATGCGTGTTTGTGTATGTATGTAGGTATATATATATTCCTATACGTGTGTGTGACTATAGTGCGTGAGTGTGACGGTACAACAATGTCATAATGTAAGCGTGCGCACATGGTGTGTGTGTGTAACTGTGTGTGTGTAACTGTGTGTGTGTAAGTGTGTGTTTATTATGTAAGCGTTATGCTTTGACTGAACGCAAGTGTATGCACACAGCCACACGTGCAATGCACGAGGTGTCTGCAAGAAGCTCTCACCTGCCTTTAAGCACACTCGCCCGCACACAACGTATCGGATGGCCAGCCAGGTAAGATACTCGAAGTTCCAACTACCCCGGCAGGCACTCGATATATTATCGACCCCGCC